GGCAGCTCCTTCCAGCCAACCACCTCCACCGCAGTACTCGGCCCCGCCTCCTTCACAGCGCAGCCGTTCTCATCAAACAGGAAGCGAACTTTAGCCCAGGATTTCCCAGCAACCAGCACGCAGCCTCTCTTTAGCGTCCCCCGCTGGACGATGGCTGTGGTGACCGGGCTAGGAAGACCAAACTGGTCACACTGGGTCTGTTTGACTTGTTTCCAGTAAACCAGCGTTAGCACAGACTTACCCTTTGCCTTTGTCCGTCCTGCTCTCGATGACGAGTCCCTCCACGGGGCCGGTAGCCTCCGCCTTTAGCTCCAACACCTCTGCCAAAGCTACTGTGGCCTCAGCCAGAGCCAGAAGGTTATCGCCCTGACAACGTCATCAATGACATCATTGGTCTACAGCAGCAGGTCGACTGTAATGATCTCATATTAACTGCTTTCATTACTTAACTTATCCTGTAACCTGCCTGTTGTACTAACTGACCAATAGGGATGTTTTTGTGCGTTGCATTGTGGGAAAACAACGCGACGTGTTGTTTGATGAGTTCACCTTCAGAGCAGAGATGTGAATCGCCTGAACGTCTCCCCCGAACTCCTCGCAAACAACGTCGTGAGCGAGCAGCTCCTGCTTCACCCGCTGAGCGTCGGCGTGAGGCTTGTCACACTTATTCACCGCCACGATCACGGGGACTGAAACACGGAGAATCAGCAGTAGAAGAGCATAAAAACAAAACGAATAGAAATCCAGTAAAAGCAGTAGAAACGGGGCGGAGCTTCGCTCTGAGCCCTGGCTGTGACTGTCGGGTGGAGCGCCCACCTTTGGCTCTCCTGGCATGCTCGATGGACTCCACCGTCTGGTTCATGACGCCATCGTCAGCTGCCACCACCAGAATGACGATGTCGGTGGCGTTGGCTCCACGGGCTCTCATGGAGGAGAAGGCGGCGTGGCCCGGCGTGTCGAGGAAGGTGATCTTCTCACCTGTCGGCAGCTGGACTGGAAGAAAATATCCGAGAGGAAAAACGTT